TTTAGAGGTAACGTTGAAGAGGGGGGAAAATAAAGCATGTTCAGCTACGCTTCAGGCAGATGGTAGTTTGATAAGAGGGGATGGAATTCAAGCTGAAAGAAAAACTTACCTTCGCACTCGCGGAAAAATTAGGTAATTTTGAGTTTGGCCGTCGATCGCAGTAAAATTCGGGAGTTTTTCAAATCAATTCCGGAGGGCGGGAGAATAACTCAAAATTCGGGAGACTCCCGCAAAATGCGGGAGAGTTGGCACGTCTGTATATTAAAAAAATTCACAATTTCATTTCTTTCCTATCCTCATCAGATTAAGTATACAGAAAATGATTTAATCATTTATGAAGTAAAAATTAACCATATAAAAACTGTATCAACTTAAATATTAACAAAAATAATACTGTCTTAAATTGTATATACTTTAAACAATTTAAATTATCACATCTCTGATACTTATATGTACTATTAAAGTACACATAAAAGTTTCCGAAATTTAATATCAGATAAAATTGAAGGAAATTATGACAAAAATATTACTAACTAAAGTTATATATACTGTAAATAATTCCCTTTCTCATCCTCTGTGATGTTTATATAAACAATAAAAGTATTAAAAAAAATAGTTCGAAAAATCAGAACAAATGATCTGCATACTTTTAATTAAAATTATTAGTACAGTAGAGAACCGATTATCCGGAACGATCGGGACCATCGCTATTCCGGATAACTGATTTTTCCGGTTTTCTGAATCGCTACAAAAAGCCGTTTTTTTTATTGTTAAACCCAACTTAAAAAAATTATATTTGGAAATAATCTTAAAAAGAAGAAAAAACGAAGTAATACACTAATGATTATTTCCAAAATGATAGTAAGGTAAACACATCTTTTCAAAAAGAAAGAAAAATCCTAAAATCTTATGAAGAAAAAAAAAAAAAATTTTAAAAAAATGGCGGAAAATTTATCGAATTTCGTTCCGGTTTTTTGGTTTTCCGGTTTTCTGATTTCCGGATAACGGGTTCTGTACTGTAAATTAAAATTTTTTTTCGATTCTATAGTAATTTTTAAAAAAAAGAACCTTCCTCTCTAAAATAGAATACGTTTTTATTTGATTTTTGTTTAATTTTTACCTTCTTAATCAAAACTTTAGGAATTTTAGGGTTTGCACATAGTTTTAAGAATTTTATGAATTTTCGGGGGAATGCGACCCCTGTATCCGATTTAGCGAAGGCGAAAATGAACACCAGGTCTTATTTTCTTTGATGAACAAGACACATTTCTTCAAAAATGTTCTCAAAAATGAAATGTTTTATCACCCTTAAAATACTAATAAGTTTCAAATGTGAAAAACCTGTCAAAAAAAGAAGACTCACTGGAAAGAGACCACCCTGAGTTGACCCTTGCATTGATTCATTCATGTTTTAAAAAGTCAAAATACACATGCTTTTAAAACAGGGAATTCTATTCAATAGAAAGGGCTTGTCAAGAATGATAGATTAGAAGTGACCACCCTTAGCAGAACAATTCCTTCCCTGAATTACAACAGACTAAATAGGGAGGTAGAGCTGTTCTAAGAACTCAAGGTGTAAAAAAGGTGTAAACAAGTTTCAGAAAATTACCAGAGTGGTGTGCAACTTCAATAGAAGAAGGTTAGTTAAATCAGTTTCCCTGCTTTCAACGTTTGCAAGCATTTTGTTTTCCTTCTTAAGCATAATGAGTGGTCAAAAGCGTAAACAATTTTCCATTAAGGAAAAACTGGAAATTATTTCAGAAGTTGATCATGGGATACAAAAAGCTGACATTGCGACAAAGTATGGACTATCCCCATCTACTTTTTTAAAAAATCGAACAAAGTTGGAACAGCAAGTGCAATCAGCATTGATCGGATCACATAGAAAAAATATACGACTTTCAAAATTTCAAGATGTAGATGCAGCTGTTTTTACATGGTTCCAGGATATTCGGTCCCGAAACATTCCAATTTCCGGGCCGCTCATTCGTGAAAAGGATTTAGAATTTGCAAGAACTTTTGGAAACGAAAATTTTCAAGCAAGTGTTGGTTGGTTGAATCGATTCAAGGAACGTTATGGTATTGTTGCAAAGCAAATTTGTGGTGAAGCTAACTCTGTTGATTTAAAAGCTGTGAATGACTGGAAATCAGAAAAAATATCGGATGCAATTAGGTCTTATGATCCTTCTGATGTTTTCAATGCAGACGAAGCGGGAATTTTTTTCCAGTTGTTACCAAACAAAACCTTGGCGTTTAAAAAGGATAAATGCATTGGAGGCAAAAATTCAAAACTGCGTTTAGCTGCTTTGTTTTGCTGCAATATGTCAGGCACTGAAAAGAGAAAAGTTATGGTTATCGGCAAATCTGCCAAACCTAGGTGCCTAAAAAATGTAAATCAGGGTTCCCACTCAATTTCAGAAAAAAATTCCCTGACTTTTCCAGGTATATTTCAATGAAAATCCATACCATATTTTATCGATACTACAAAATTTTTCATCAGAAAATGCGGATTCCTTTATTTGTTATGCCAAGTATAAGATTTTTTGTGTAAAATAAATATCATTATATAAATTATATAAGAAAAGAAGCATTTCAGTTTGACTAAAATGTAAAATTTTTACAATAAATAATTGTAACAGGTTTCCCACTCAATTTCAGAAAAAAAAATTCCCTGACTTTTCCAGGTAAATTTCAATGAAAATCTATACCATATTTTATCTATACTACGAAATTTTTCATCAGAAAATTTGGATTCTTTTATTTGCTATGCCAAGTATTAGATTTTTTTGTGTAAAATAAATATCATAATATGAGGAAGGAAGCATTTCAGTATGTCTAAAATGTAAAATTTTTTCAACAAATAACTGTACTAGATGTTATAATTATTTAACTCGAATCTCAATAACTGAGTATTTTAAGACTGGTTTTTTCCAGGTATAATGAAGGAATTTTCCAGGTTTTTGTAAGAAAATTGCAACTTTCCCTGACTATTCCCTGATTTTTGGAGTTGAAATAAAATTCCCTGACAATTCCAGGTTTTCCCTGACCAGTGGGAACCCTGGTAAATTCACTACCTTGTGATTATAGATC